CCAGGAGGAGCATCAGCGGTCAACAGTGACCCTCTATCTGTCTGATGTCAGAGGAAGCAACCACTCTCTTGGTGAGTCTGAGAACTATTCCTTTAGAGCCATATAGGACAATCCACTTACACAAGAAACGGTGTGATGTATATTTCTGGTATTGTTTGGGATCTTGCCTTCATCACACAGAGGATAAAACGAATACTAGGTATGGAAACTTGGTGCTAGATGAATGACTTAAAATATTACTCATCTCCTTTTTTTTCTTCAGGAACCTATGAACTATCATGCCAACATAATCCACTGGTTATCAATGTGACCCATCATGAAAATGTCCTCTCTCACCATATCACCTCTGTGCTGCTGAATTTCTCATCCCCATTAGTGGGCATCTCAGCGGTGGCTCTAAGGACATCCTCCCACATCAGTCCTTCAGCTCCTAAAAACTGTGTTTCAGAACAAAATCGTCAGGGACAGAGGTACAAAGTCTCCTCTCTTCTTTTCTTGTAGCTGTGATATATTGCTACCATTGAAGTACATGGTACTGTGAATACAGTGGTTACTTAATCATTAACTGAAAAGTGGATTTAGGAGCTACTAAAAAGTCTTAGGAAGCAAGCAAAGAATAACTTGTAGAAGAGCACACTTGAATTTTACATTTTTCTCTTCTTTCTTTAGCTGTGCATATTTTTATGTAAATATTTAACATCTTTACAAGGTCTTAACATCTTTTTTACATATAAAACCACTGACTTCAAATCAACATTGTTATATAAACTGCCAAAAATTCTCTGCCAAAAACTCAATGTTCTCTAAACAATGTATATTTTTTCACTTGTTCCTCCACCTGGATAGTGTACACAGCAAGTTTAGCAATTACTTGCTAGGGCGTGTCACATAATCATTTAGGCTTACATGTGGAAATAGGGACTATATTAGCTACATGTGTCTTTCTATGAATATCTGTGATTGTCATTGTCTAGACAGATGAGGGTCACTGGATTCTCAGCAGTACCTAGATGAGGGACTGTACTTCACAGTGGTGGTGTGTTCAAGATTGGACATAGGGAGCACTTCAAACTCAGCAATTTGTGCTGCAGTTGGGATAGCATCATTCTCTCAATGGTTTAATCAAGTGAATGAAACCAAAGTGATAGGTTCATTCTCTCAGAAAGGAAGGTGAAAGCACCTGTTTGTTAGCAGGTAATTAGGAACCTAATCACAAAAGCTGACATTGTAAGTATGCTCCATCACCAAGGATGAAGTCTAGTACCTCCATGCTCATCCAAGGTATACCAGAAACCCAGCTCTGAGAGGGATGGGGAGCAGCTAGTACTGGCAGAGTACACTAGTTATTTATCTCCATGTACAAATTATAACATATTTAGTGACTTAGCACAATGAACTTTACTTCACAGTTTCTGTGGATTAAGCATCTAGATGCAGTTCAGTTGGGTGCCTCAGACTTAGGGTCTCATATGAAGTTGTCGTCAAACCGTTGGCCAAGGCTGTAATTATCTCAAGGCTATAATTACCTCTAGGCTAAAGAGGAGCTGGAGAATTGACTCCCATGCTTACAGTGTGGCTATTGGTGGGTCAGAAAATCCATACCCATGCTCACTGACACAGGTGTTGGCAGTAGGCATGCTCACGTAAGTGTGACTCAGTTCCCTGATGTGTGGACCTCTCCATAAACTCTTTGAGTGTCTTAGATTCAGCAGCTAATGATCTAAGAGAAAAAATGAGCCAGAAAGGGTGACTACATGATAGACTCCCCAAAACAGAAGTCACGGTATTCTTATAACATGATGTTGGGAATGATAACCCATTGTTTCTGGAATAATCTATTCATTAGAAATAAGTCAGTAAATCCAGACCATACTCAAGGGGAGCAGTTTGCATAAGAACACAAGTCACTGAAGATCATCTTCCAGGCTATCCATCACATGCAGAATCATAGTTTAGGTTAATTGAGCATTAACTAGGTGATTGCTAGAAAGAGAGGAACAGTAAGGGACAGAGTCTGGACACTAGTTCATCTATAGCTTTCGGTTCTTAGCAAGCAAACACCTTCAACATTAGTATGAGAATGAAGACTATCAAATACTATTGCTGATGAGAATTATTACCTCTTCCTTACGTATTTTTTAAGTTAATTTCTCTACTGGCTCTATATCTGGACTTAAGCCATACATAATTTCTTTCAGGTCCCTGAACATGTGTTCTTGATGAACTTTGTACATAATGTTCCTACTTTTTTTGAATGCTGTCCAGTCCTTCTTCACTTCAACTCATATTCCTCCATCAGGATTTGCCTTCTGTGAAGTTTTGACAAACTCCCTCCATATTTCCAAAGGACATAGACATAATCCAAACTGTATAAAAGTGACTACCATATTGAGTGGTTACTGTTTATTCACTTGTTGGGTTTTTTTCCCATTAAACTCTGAGCTCCCTATGTGATGGGAGTTCTGCTCAGTATCTCTTAGTGACTAGCAGAGGGATTGTCACATAGTAGGTACCAGAAACTCTGTGTTGGGTGGCAGATTCTGACTTTATATTTAAATGCTCTGTGGAGCAGAACTGAGCAAACAAACCAACAAATTTGAAGTCACAGCTTCTCTAGATGTGAGGGGCAAGAATTCCCCTCACCATCATATCATAGCTGTGAAATTTTAACAATGAACTTGATTAGTTGTGATCACTACTTCTAGTTCTTCACTTATTTTCATATGGCACTGTGGGAAAAACAAGTTTTATATGCGTGCATGCAAACCAGTGGAAATAGGATATGATTCTCTAGTTTATACAGAGTGGATCTGGAATGCATAAGCATTTCCAAACCACATGTGACTGACAGGAGCCATGCAAATTTGCTTTTCCTTTAGCCAGCGGATTGGTACAATATAGTAAATTTTTACACACAGGAAACTTAATAGATCTCATATATTTTCATCATAAATACATTTTAAATCTTAATCCTTATGTAAATAAAAAAATAGAGGTGTTTTTGCAGTCTTGTATCGAAAGCTGTTGTATATGTAGATACACCATAGTACGAAACCCTGGGCATGGGAGAGAGATTTCTGGCTACCTTCTCTTACCCCTTATGACCTAAATTTCATTAATACTTCAATGGGCAGGGGAGAGCTGACAGATGCCTGGCAATAGATGTGTTATCCATTTTATTTTTAACTATTAATAACCATTGGCAAATTCCTCCTACAATGCCAACCTGATTGGTCCATAGAATCTCAGATGAAAACCAATAAACCCATATCTGGTTCTCCTGTGATATTCATGCTCCTTTGCCTTGGACAAAGTAATTTCTCCCTGTTTCCCACTGAAATACCAACAATACAGAAAAATATGAATTCCTATCAAAACTAAAACCCATGTCTGGCCCTGACACTCTGTGAGGATTTCCTTCTGATTGCAAAAAACTGTTGGAGTTAAATTAAGAAACATCATTGTAAGCCGAAACATATACTGTTGCATTCTCTTAAAAAAATCAACTACGGAATGGAGTCACGCTTAAAGAAGAGGGAAGCAGTCATTATTTCTTCATACTCTGGCCCCTTTGAATTTTCTTTTAGGTGAACAATGATATCTTTATTGTTTGGGTCACAGCCAAGTCCAGGGAGAGGAAGATCAAGATTTCAGAGTTGAATCATTTTCAGTCTGACATGTCTATCATGCATCCAATTCATATATCTGCTAGAGAGTTGCCTATGTGATTCTGGATTGAAATAGAATCTAGGGTGGATGCAATTAAGAAATAGGGCCTTGGAAATAGTTCAGATCATGTGGAGGCTTGGAAGGAATGAAAGAAAGTAGGTAGGAAGAAAGGAAGGAAGGAAGGAAGAATTTGATGTGTCTCTTAGTCTTGTTTTCCATTCTGTTATAATGGCTGCCCAGTTCATGACTCTTTGGACTTTGTCTATTGATCATGTATGTCTTAGTCTAGAAACTCAAGTACAGTTTTCTTGGCTTTGACCACCAGCGCTCAACAGGAGCCCAGATCATTCTTATTCTCCCACTGTTTTGAGCTTATCCACTTTTATGTGCAACCTGCCACACCATCAGCCTCAAGCAGACTTCAACTTTCCTAGTATTGTGTTGATGACCTTGGGAAGCAAAACCATCTTTTTGTTGTTGTTAGTATAATGGGATTCAAAGCGTGTCTGAGAAAGAATCCAGGCACGTATGTCCTCTTTTCCAGGACATGGACTGATGACAGTGGTTGAAACTTCTGAATGCTTATCTCTTTACAGCATTTTTTCTCTAACTGCTCTATAAAAGGTGAAAATGTGGTGTAAACCTTTCAAGCAGAATGATTTTCCTTGTATTTCAAACAGTTTTTGCTTTTTTAATTCGATGTGACATAATTAGGTATTTAACTTTTTGTGACTGGTTGGTTTTTATTAGGATCATACCTCTTGCCAAATCTTTTGCCTCTTTAAATGCTTTGGCTTTGAATTCTACTTTGTCTGGAATTACAATTTCCACCCTTGACTTTGCTTTGTTTGTATTTGTTCGATAAATATTTGCTGCTTTCATTTTCAACCTTTCTTTATCTTCACTGCCAAGGAGCCCAGGGCACATTGCTTCACTGCACTGTTTACAGAGACAATAGTACTATGTAAAACTATTCCAAGATTTTATTCTGAAAACTTACCTCATGAACCTTAAGCCTCTAACGTCTTTTAGGATTTTGTAGGATTTTTGTTTTCCTTTGGGACTTTTTTTTAATTACTGGGGTTTGAACTTAGGGTCTTACACTTGCTAGGCAGGCACTCTTATCACTTGAATCACTCTGTCAGTCCAGGGTATTTATCTCCCAAGATGTAATAGCTTTTGTCTATGATTCCATGCTCCCACTCACCCTCACCCTACTTCACCAGAACCCTTATACTTCCTGACCTAGAAGTAAAAGTCTTCAAATGAGTAAAAATAAGGTTATACAGTGGGAATAATGGACAGAGAACAGATCTCTAACAAATAGAACACAGAGCTTAGTTTTCTGGTCTTTATAGGGGTCAGTGAATGAAGAAAGAATGACTTGTTTACCGTTTTCAGTAAGGCGGAGGGAATTGCTTGTTTCTTTCTTTTAGTAAGGCTCCATTCTCTTTTTTTAATTAGAAAACAAAAAGAATGCTTTGGATTACAATGATGATTCTGAATTTAGCTCCATATATTTTGTAATCAGGAGTAAATCTGCAGAGATTCTAGCTGCTGTTTTTTTTTTCTGATATTGTTAAGTGCTTCATAACTTTCTGTATTGTTAATATTTGCACAGGAAACAGAATGAAACTGCTTTATAATATTATTATAAGAGTAACTGAAAGCAATACATGTGGAGTTTGTAGTGCATTCTAGCACTAGGTTGAAGCAGCACCCATGACAGTTGATACCCCCTTACCTATCTTATATATTTGATCTATATATTTAGAAGGTGTTCCAGTTATCAAAGAATTTA